CTTTTCATGCCGAGTTAGCCGTTTGAATCGGATGAAAAAATAGGGGGTCAGTGCAGATGACATTTTTGCACACAAATATTTTGTCAGAGAAATAATTTCCGCTGACTCAGGGTCATTTTATAAAGATTGTTTTGTTTTGCAAGGTTTTTGATTGTTTTAATTTTCTTAATTTCTTCTAATTATTAAAAATTTAGTGTTCAACTATTTCCTAATGTGAATTATTTTAAAATGAATTTTTAAATGCTATATCCCAATTTTGAACACAAAAATATAATATTTAAGAAAAATATGTAATATTATTAGCTCATTTTAGTTTTTCTCTAAGAATGTTATATAAAATTATTGTGTACAATATTTGATAAAAATATAAAATAAATTTAACAACATTATTAAATCAATTTGTAAAAATATAATAATAATTTAATTTATAAAACATTTATTTGTAGAAAATATATTACGTTTATTAACTTTTCAAAAGAATTTCAACATGGATTCAGAAAGTGAGCGAGAAAACCAAATGCTTGGAAAACGAATTAAAATGTCCAAATTTCAACTTTTAATTGGAAATTTTAATCATTTTTAAAACAGTTTAAAATTTCTGTTTTAAAATAATTAATAGTTCCACGTAAAACTAAAAAACTAAGACAAGCGGCAACACCCTGAACATGACTAGGAAAAAGTTGAAATGTGGACATTTTAATTCGTTTTCCAAGCATTGGTTTTCTCGCTCAGTTTCTGAATCCACGTTAAAATTCTTTTGAAAATTTAATACGGAAACGTCGGAAACTGAAATACACTTAACAACGCAAACACGACACAACTCTACACTGAAATTTACAAAAAAACACACTCACACTAATAAATTAACAACGTTTTATTATCGTTTAACTTTAATGTAACATTATTATTATGTTTGGTTCTTTGCATCATATATATTAATTTAACAAAATTCTCCTAGAATGATCCACCCTGCATGTCACCCACCGGCAACCCCCTCACGCAGTCCTAATTCATACTTAAGCACAAAATAAGAGGGTCCTCGAACAAAGAAGAAGAAAACGAAATTTCAAAAAGCTGTCGTTCATTAAATCAGCCGTTGGCGACCTTTGCCACTGCAATATTGATTCATTTGCTCGCTCCAAAATGCAGAAAAATGGATCGTCGGCGTTTTTTCTAGCCGCACTTGGGCCGCAAGACGAGGCAAGGGGTGAAAGACGAACGGTGTCGGTGCAGGTTTTTTCTGCTCCCCGGTCAGTGTCCAACGTCCACCCTAACCCGCTCTCGTCCAATCTAGTTTGCACGCTTCTTTAAAGTGGTCTGAACGGTGCAGTTAAGACGCGAATCTCGAGGGGAGCGATTTTATTACGAAATTATTAGCCGATGAAAAAAATGCATATACGCGTCTCTTCACGTTTTTTGAAAAGGGGTAAAACGAGTACCGGTCAGTGCGAGAAGCTTCTTCTCACGCACCCCGAAAGAGTGACCCCTGCGCCAGTGGTCACTCGGCCATCGCAGCACAGATAAATATTTCTCCGCCGAGCTGGACATCGGCCAAAAAAGTGGTCACTCCACATCTTAGCATGCACGGCTCGGATGCTCCGAACAGACCAAACTGCCGCAACGGAGCATTTTTTTTTCTCAACATTGAGCATCCTTTATAAAAGCCACTCTTTGTCCGAATTTCAGTTGGAACTTGAAATCTCAGAGCATGAAAGAGGAAACTTTATAAATTATCATGCGAGTTAAAAAAAAAAAAGAACGTTGTATGAATATCTCGAAAACTTTAAATAAACAGACATATGAATATTGGTATTCAATTCATTTTGAATATCAATTAAAACTTTGATTATTTATTCACCCATGCAGTACCAAACGGTTATATTCATGAATATAGTTGATAAACTGCAAAGTCTGGATTGTATCAAATTTAATATATATCTATATATCTATATCTCAAAATTGCTTTATAGTTCATGCAAAATTTGATTTTTATTATACAAATGTCTGATGATATAATTCAAAACTACAAAAGATCAGGTTTTCTCTAATTCTATTTTTTTACTGTGAAACCCTCCAATATTGTAAACAGATCTAAATTTAATCGATCAATTTTGTTGAAGAATTTCACGATCGAGGGTTGATTCATGGAGTTTTGAATTTAAAATCGGCTTTTTTGAGTCTTCTCTCGACCATCGCCGAGAAAGCTCACGAATTGTGGCTGCAGCCCGCAGCCGAAACATGTAGAGCAGGATTTTGTTTTTTCTGAAACAATAAACAACTCACAAAAACTCATTGAGGAAAAGCCGATTTTAAATTCAAATCACCATTAATCAATCAATTTATATTTAAATTTAAATTCAATAATAATTAATAGTATAATTTTGTGGTAGAATTTCACAATCATGTTGATTTGAATTTAAAGTCGACTTTTCCTCGAAGGGTTTTGTGAGTTCTTTATTGTTTAAGAAAAGCAATATACATAATTTCCTACTCCATGTAATGTTCGGCTGTGGGCTGCAGCCATAATTTAGAAGCTGTGAAATTATTTTGACAAGAATTATTGTAAAAACCAATTTTGTTCTTAATATTTTACTTTCAAATTAAAACCCGTCGAGGAATAGCCGACTTTAAATTCAAATTGCCAAAAAAAAAATTAATGTTGAGTTTCATTGGTAAATAAGACTAATTCTGTTAAAAAAATTTAAATATTTTTATATCTTTAATAAAATATGTAAAAATTAAAAATAACTACGAAGTCGGGCAATGAGAATAGAAGCAATTTTTGTTGCTTTTGCCTCACATTTTTTTCCTATAGTGGCTCTAGAATAGCTTTCACGCGTCACCGCACTTTTCCTAGCTTGTTTCCGAAAGTGATCAAACTAATACGTTCGCTGAGTGCAAAAGTCCACTACTTCCGATTTATCACGCGCAAGATCTGCGCGCAGAAATGTAGCACACAACAAAACTGCTGTGTATAGAGACAGAATTTCCCCCGAAGGAAGTGCCACGTATATGTTGATGGCGATTGAAAATGGCCAGTGAGTCCTCCGCGCTCACAAGTCAAAAGTATACATAGTTTCTCTCTCGAGTGCATGCCTGCGTTCGTCGCGACATCAAAAGAGACGCGCGCGAGCGGCGACAGATAAATAATAATAATAATCTATAGAGAGAAAGAGAGAAGACCCAACCTTAATTCCGGCTAATGAAATTCAAGGCACATAATGTTTGTGTATTGATTCGATCAGCAGCAGCACAAGCGTCTTTTATATTTAAGGAGAATCTCCTTTTGAGAAGCGGATGAGATCACGTTATTTTTTTTTATGACCCACGAGCTGAGTTGGTGTCGATGAAATGAGAAATGTGAAAAATTCTTGCATGGACGAGAGAGACACCTCGTGTGCATAAACTCTCAAATAATGTGATTATCTCTGGCAGAGAAAGAAAGAAATCCTTCGAATGTGGCGCGGATTTTATTCTCTGGCTGCAGAATAAGAGAAGCCAATGTAATAATGAGAAGATGAGGCCATCCGCATACATTAAAGAAGCCTCCCGAGTCACTTCGACGCGGCGGCCCAAGGCGCCGCCGTAAACATATTTTTATGCTGCATATGGACCATCACGAGCCACCTCGGTAATCAGACACCCCATCCATTGATCCACTTACCCCGGCCCACCTAATCACATTACACTTCATGCAAGTCTCGCTATTGGGAAAATCAAGTACACAGCAGAGCCGATCTCTGTCGAAGCAGAGAGAGCTCATGTTTATTTGCCGCCAGCTTATGCAACCCGCTGATCGTGTCCGTGACGAAAATTTCAATTGAATTAAAATTGAATCGCTTTCCTTGACGATTAAGTATTTGCAAGTGAATTGAAACCAATTCAAATGACGTGCTTAAAAATGAAAAGTTTATTTTAGCTGAAACATAGTAAAATATTTTTCAAAAGAAATTTTCGGATTTTTTCAGTTCAGTGTGTTGCCGTTTGTCTAAATTTTTGAGTTTTAAATTGGAAAAATAATGTTTTGGAAACAGAAATTCGAATCTGTTTTTGGAAAAGAATCAAAATTTCCAATTAAAAGTTGAAATTTGCATCTATTAATTCGTTTTCCAAGCATTGCTTTTCTCGCTCAGTTTCTGAAAATACATCAAAATTTCTTTTGAAAAATTAAAAATGGAAACTGGAATTCACTTAACAATGCAAACTCGACTTATGAAAATTACAAAAAATTCACACTCTCACTAACAAATTAACAATAATTAAAATATCACTACTGCTGAGGAGGAAAATTATAACAATGGGATTTTATTTAATATTATGAACTTTACAAATATTTCAATTGATAATTTTCTAAAATCTTATAGTTTAGTGGCGGAAATTCTTCAAATTTTTAATTCAGAACCCAGTTGTCTGATTTGGAGATGCTAAAGAGGTTTTAAAAATATATTAAATTAACTTTCACTTTAAAATCATAAGTAATGAAGTGTCTGAAGGGAGAATAACGCCTATTTCAGCAATTTTTAAAACATTTTTCTTCAGGTAATAAAAATAATTGTTAAAATATTTCACATTTTTTATATTTTCAGAAATCTAAATTTCTGGGAAAGGTTTGCATAAAATACAAATAAGTTATACATGAAAACCCAGTATAATTTTGTGACGCAAAAGACAGTTGATTTCCAGTATAAAATAAACAAGCAAAAATGTTTTCTTTTAAACTGTCCCAATTACAAATACATCGGCAAGCGCTGATTTTCAACAAACATTCGAGTCGTAAAACAAAAAGCGTCTCGATTCAAAACTTATGCCGCAATAATGTACAATTTTTCGAGAGAGCGCGCATTATTTTATTTATTACGAGGAGCAGCGGCGGTCGCTGGTAGAGCTGGCGCGGCGGAAAGAGGCGGCCTCCGCGGCTCCCCACCCCGCCGAGGCACCTTTCTCTGCCTGAGACTCTGGGGAGGAGACCCAAGAAGTTGGCTCTCGAGGTATCAGTCTGTGTTGCGGACACGAGCGAAAAACACAGACGGCCGCACGTTACCCCGCTGAACAACAAACGCACGCAGCAACCACCCTTGTCGTCGGACGAAATCGATTTCGGACAGCTGGACTTTGTGTTGTGCTCGGTGGTTGACAATCGCGGGCACTCGATCGTTGTTATGCCGGCAAGAGGTGCACTCAAGTGCCTGTGAGGAGTTTTGAGCCCAGGACTTTAATTTTGTAAGTACTTTTTAAAATTATATTAGTCCTTACAATAGTTTTAAAGTTTATTAATTTATTTTCTAATTAAATTGTTTTTAAATTTTGCATATTTTTATTTTATATAAATTTATATTAATTAAAGTTTTTAAAAATTAATAGTAAAATTTCCTAAAAAATAATGTGCGTATGAAACATTACTTAAATAGACACAATATTTTAAAAAAAAATTATTTTTCATGTTACAAATGTTGGCAAAAGCATAATAATGATCTGAGTGGAATTATGATTCAATTAATTCTACAGGGCAAAACGTGTTATTCAATTTTTAGCAGTTCTTAATTACACCATACAAAATTAATAAAAAATTATTATTTGAGGGCCATAAAAACCTAACCTCTGGTCCTGGCTAACTTAACCTAACAAATAACTAATTTAACAAATTAAAATTAGCCCACGTAGCTGTCAAAAAATTGCATGATTTGCAAAAGTTTTTGGCGTTTTTTAATTAAATTCTCAAAGCATGATTGAAATTAAAAACTGGGCGAAGGAAAATCGTTTATATAGATAAATATTGAAATTAGCAAATCATTCATAGGATGCGTATAAATTAACACATTATAATTCAACCAATTTCGATCCTGCCAACCCTGCGATCTGCAACGAAAGAGACCAGAAACTTGAACACATTTGGATGGTCCAAGGCCAAGTATCAGTCACGGTCCATCCATCCCCCGAAGGAAAAATGATAAACTCTCTTGTTTGTGCAACCTGCGTACTTGATTTATTGGCCGCTCAGCTTTTTGCGTGTGCGTTTTCTGAATGCGGCATTATATAATTTTTTATACAAAAACGTCGAGCGCGCCGAGCATATAATTGTGGTCCATGACATGTAAAAACATCTTGTTTGATATTCATTCAGCGCGGGCCCATTATGCATCCCCTTCTGGCCCTCATCTCTATTGATGCTGCTGGCGAGAAGGGATCAAAAAGGCCTTTCTTTCTTTCAGAAGGTCTCGCACACGAAATAATGCGATAATGCGCCCCGCTTCTAGAAGCGTTTTGACTTTCCCTTGGGCCGCCGCCGCTACACAAGGCCATGTAAACCACCCCAAAATGAGATGCTGCCGTTTTTCCGATCTTTTTTTTCGTCAAACGTTGTTTTGTGGCCAAGGTCGGAGGCTTCTGTGTTGACAAGCGAGAAAAATTATTGCACCCCCGTGTCTGCAAAGCATCTCCGTACAATGGGTGCCAGCACAGAATTCCCAGAATTCCAGCAACAACACGGCGACCCAAATTTCCAGACTCGTTGGCAAAGCTTTAACATGTTTTGATCTTTATATACCTACAAACAATGCGCTGATCAAGTGCAGAGAGATGCTCAGAGGAATTTTAGCTGAGATGCAAAGGAGAATTCTTCAAAATCTTTAAAAATTTATCTATAGAAAAAGAGAAGAACTAAAACAATATTTCTTTTAAAATTTAATACTTTTATTTAATTTAAAAAAGAAAATCTTAAAATTCCAGCTCAGTTCCTTTTTTGTTTCAATTAATTTTTCTTCCAACAAGCGCATTGTTTTGTTTTTAACAAAAATACTGAACTGCGACCCATCTCGGCGCGAAATTTTTGTTTTAGCAACTTAAATTTTTTATAATTTCCTCTTTTATTTTGACTTGATTTGTGAAGAATAAACACTCGCTTAAAATTTTAATTTTAATTTTGAATTAATATTTTTAAATTTAATCAACTGTTTGACTTGACGACGCCTCCATTAAAAATTTTTTTCCTCGAACATCGCGTGGCATTGGCATCCGCCTTGATTTGCATTAGCCGTTGCAATCGGTCCAAATGCAGAAAGAAAGTCATATCGAAGCTGCCGCGCAATATCTCCTTCAGTATTCCAATCGCCGCATCTCGCGCACTTATGCATTTTCACCATGTTTCAGCTCGAAACCGCTCGTGCTAATTTATTATTCAAACTGCTGCACGAGCTGTCATATTTTTCCCCTCTCGTATCAATTGGCGTCTTGTTTGTTTATTGGATTGATTTCACCTCATAGAGCTGTCGTTTTTTTTTTCGCATTCGATCCGCGCGCTTTGGCTGCCAACAACCTGCACTTCATCCTGATCGATCTTGCTGATATCAATTTGAAAGTGTTTGAAAGAAAAAGAGAAGCTGAAGTTTCTCCATCCGCATATATCGAGTTTTTCTATAAATCAATGTCGCCTTGCGAAACCGTTTCATGCCAACAACAATAATTTAAAACAATAAAAAAAATTTATAAAGAGGGTTGCGGATTTTAACGTCTATTAATTTTTTGCTCAGTTAATGAAGAGTTCCCATGAGCCAAGTATGGCATATGCAAGGAGATTCGCGCGCAGCAAAAAATTAATTTCAATAATTCTCGCCAAAAAGAGGGGCTGCAGCTTTTCAGCTCAGGAGCTTCGCGAAAATCTGCATATATTCTTCCCTTCCTCTCCTTATCAACTTCATTTGAATGCATAATTTTTTGTTTCGGCTCCCCTCGCTCATCAAGAATATAAATATAATTGTCTGCGAAATCTCTGGCTGATCTGCACGTTGCTCTCCGGCGTACAATTTTTTTATTATTATTTTCACGCAGCACTGCGGCGCGCAAGAGGCGCAATAAAATTACTTGTACTCGCACCAAGTGTTTCAGTAAAGAGATTGGGGATTTCGATTATTGTGCCGCATCATCCTCAGCGCGCATTTTTAATATTCATAACCGGTCCTAATTAAATTTTACTAAATGCTAATTAAGTCTGCCACCGCGCTGATGACAAAGGGCTCGGCTCTCAGGCTCTGCAACAGCCGAATATGCGCTTATTATTTAAAATTTTGTTTGTGCAAACAGAGACGGATTAGGTCATGAATTTGTCACCAAACGTGCGATTTGTGAGGCCGTAAATAGAATCAATTATTAAAATTGAAATCAGCTGATTTTAATCGGACTTTACTTAAAATATGCGGAAAAATACAGCGATTAAAAAATTGAAGATTTGATAATTTACTATGATTAAGCCTTGTCTAATTGATTTATCATGTTAAAAAATTTGCATAATTAAAACATTTGCGCTCGGCAGCTGTCATTGCTGCGGAAAGCTGCAAATTTCGCCAATTTATCTGATTTCAAAATCGACTTCTAATTCCATCAACTCAATTTAATTTTTTTACTACATGCATCATTATTTCGTATATCTCGTTCGCGGCATCTGAAGCATCCCATCCGGTATCACTTCTGCGGAATAACACTCGGGTAATGACGGCTAATTATTGCGCGCGCGAAGGGCAGCAGAGCATCGTTTCTCGAAAATGCATCTGCCGCGCGCGCGTGTAGAAAAGAGAGGCGCAGATGATATTTTTTGTTATGACACAGACATACTTGCGCGGCTCCAGCAACAGCAGTTCTCCCGCGGTATATAATGGGCCTCCAACGAACAGCATCTGACACCGTAGTTTAGTAATTTCCATAATTTCTGGTTAAAGTTTAATTGCAGCGACCGTTCAATTTATACCTCCGAGAAAAGGGCTTGTGACATTAATTAACACAAAATTCCACTATAGAATTATTTAGGACACCAAAGTGATTTAAAACAAAAAAAATACACTTCGCCTGTCTAAAAATAATTATTTAATAAAAAAAAGAAACAATAAAATCTTTAATTAATCGAATTGTTTAACAAAATCAACTTTTTTTTAAAATTGTTTCAAATTAGCACAGTCCGATTTAATTTTCTAAACTGGATTGGCAAATACAAAACAAAGAGAGCAGGCACCTTACAAATAAATTACAAAAAAGCATACATTGCGTGTAGCACTTGGTGTGTTGTGTCTTTTCTCGCTCTCTCAGCCTCTCTTTTTTCCTTTCGTCCTCTCTCTCGGGTCTTGCCTGGCGCTCTTTGTCTCGTCGACTTTTTTCATCATCTCACATTTCATCATCGCAGCAGCCCAGGTAATCTTATCCACACTCGGCAAAAAAAAAAACACTGCTGCTCTTTTCACTTCAGATACGCGTACTGTGTAACATATCTCGTCCCTCTCGCTGATCCTTCCTTTTTATACGGCAGGGCCACATTTGAAAAATAAAATTATAATAATCGAATATGCAGAAATGAATCGCCAATTATAAATATGGTAAATTTATGCTCACGTCAGTTGATCGGAAAGGTCTGAGACACTTCAAAAGAGAAGTGATTGACGTCTTGACTTATATTTTTCTTAAAAATATTTAAGGGGAGCCTTTTGTACGATCTTCAACCCTTCATTTGAAAGTTTAATTGACTTTTGCTTAATAAAGAAGACATGCTTATAAAAAACTATAAAAGTTATCTAATCAGAGGTATTATTAAGAAAAAAATTATTGCAAATTAATTCGCCGGACAAAATAGCGATTTTCACGCTCGTTGGCATTTCGCAGCTTTTTATCGCGCCGTGGGCAGCCGAATATAAAAAAAATTATTAGCTGCACGAACCGTGCGGTGTTAATGCATTTTGAATCTATGCAGCAACAAATACACAGTTGAGCCGAAGCCAACCTTGATCCCAATATATTTCTAAATTTGACTGCTTTACTGCACGCGTCAGTCTCGGTGATGATACCCGCATGATCTCTCTCCGCGGCGTTCATGATCATCAAAAAAATATAATAAATAAATCCAATATCATGTACCACACTGCAGCAGAGGTTGTGTTGTGACATCACTCGCGCCACTCTGCAGGCTGCTTTTCACTTTCGATCATTGAAAGGCGGTGCAATAAATTTTACATCAGTCCATAAGTTTTATGTCCCGAAAATTGCAATTTGAATAACAAATGGAAATTATTTTAAAATAGAGATTTATTATTATTATTATTATTATTGTTGTTGTTTATTTGTCCACATTGTTACAGATACATTGTTTACATTCGATTTTTGAAAAACAATTATTTAGAAAAAGAGATTGTTGGACAAGGCATCACCACTAGAAAAATTTTGCTAAAACTTCCGAGATCAAAAAG